TGACCCCATTTAAACGCGTTTACAAATTGTAAACGCATCTTTTTGTGAGTTTACGATCGGCGATCGTGATCGCCGTTTTTCGGTGATTCTACAAAAGTAAGCTAAGACGCAACCGTGTTTTAAACTAAACGCGTAACAGATGCCTGATTCTGGCCGTCACATTCAAGCATGAACGCGCCCTTGGACTGGGGTAGATGACAATATCTTTCTGACACACAAGCCTTAATTTTCATGACTTGGACAGAGGTATATAATACATGTAATGTTTTTTTTATGCCACACAAGCCCTAATTTTCGTGACTTGGACAGGGGTAGACAATAATGTGTTTCTGCCACACAAGCCTTAATTTTCTTGACTTGGACAGGGGTAGACAATAATGTCGTTCTGCCACACAAGCCTTAATTTTCATGACTTGGACAGAGGTATATAATACATGTAATGTCTTTCTGCCACACATGCCCTAATTTTCTTGACTTGGACAGGGAAAGATAATAATGTCTTTCTGACACACAAGCCTTAATTTTCTTGACTTGGACTTGAGTAGATAATAATGTCTTTCTGCCACACAAGCCTTAATTTTCATGACTTGGACAGAGGTATATAATACATGTAATGTCTTTCTGCCACACAAGCCCATTATTATTTTGACTTGGACTGGGGTAGATAATAATGCCTTTCTGCCACACAAGCCCTAATTTTCTTGACTTGGACAGTGGTACAGGTATATAATACATGTAAAGTTTTTATGCCACACAAGCCTTAATTTTCATGACTTGGACAGGGGTAGACAATGTTTTTCTGCCACACAAGCCTTAATTTTCTTGACTTGGACTGGGGTAGATGACAAAATCTTTCTGACACACAAGCCTTAATTTTCATGACTTGGACAGAGGTATATAATACATGTAATGTTTTGTTTATGCCACACAAGCCCTAATTTTCTGGACTTGGACAGGGGTAGATAATAATGTCTTTCTGTCACACAAGCCTTAATTTTCTTGACTTGGACTGGGGTAGATGACAATATCTTTCTAGCAACACAAGCCTTAATTTTCTTGACTTGGACTGGGGTAGACAATAATGTCTTTCTGCCACACAAGCCCTAATTTTCTTGACTTGGACAGTGGTACAGGTATATAATACATGTAATGTTTTTATGCCACACAAGCCTTAATTTTCTTGACTTGGACAGGGGTAGATAATACTGTCTTTCTGCCACACAAGCCTTAATTTTCATGATTTGGACAGGGGTAGATAATAATGTCTTTCTGCCACACAAGCCTTAATTTTCATGACTTGGACAGGGGTAGACAATAATATCTTTCTGCCACACAAGCCCTAATTTTGTTGACTTGGACAGGGGAAGATAATAATGTCTTTCTGCCACACAAGCCCTAATTTTGTTGACTTGGACTGGGGTAGATGACAATATCTTTCTGCCACCAAGCCCTAATTTTCTTGACTTGGACAGAGGTATATAATACATGTAATGTTTTTCTGCCACACAAGCCTTAATTTTCATGACTTGGACAGGGGTAGATAATAATGTGTTTCTGCCACACAAGCCTTAATTTTCATGACTTTGACAGGGGTAGACAATAATGTCTTTCTGCCACACAAGCCCTAATTTTGTTGACTTGGACAGGGGAAGATAATAATGTCTTTCTGCCACACAAGCCTTAATTTTCTTGACTTGGACAGGGGAAGATAATAATGTCTTTCTGACACACAAGCCTTAATTTTCTTGACTTGGACTGGAGTAGATAATACATGTAATGTCTTTCTGCCACACAAGCCCATTATTTTCTTGACTTGGACTGGGGTAGATAATAATGCCTTTCTGCCACACAAGCCCTAATTTTCTTGACTTGGACAGTGGTACAGGTATATAATACATGTAATGTTTTTATGCCAAACAAGCCTTCATTTTCTTGACTTGGACTGGGGTAGACAATAATGTTTTTCTGCCACACAAGCCTTAATTTTCTTGACTTGGACTGGGGTAGATGACAAAATCTTTCTGACACACAAGCCTTAATTTTCATGACTTGGACAGAGGTATATAATACATGTAATGTTTTTTTTATGCCACACAAGCCCTAATTTCCTGGACTTGGACAGGGGTAGACAATAATGTCTTTCTGCCACACAAGCCTTAATTTTCTTGACTTGGACAGGGGTAGATAATAATGTCTTTCTGTCACACAAGCCTTAATTTTCTTGACTTAGACTGGGGTAGATGACAATATCTTTCTAGCAACACAAGCCTTAATTTTCTTGACTTGGACTGGGGTAGACAATAATGTCTTTCTGCCACACAAGCCCTAATTTTCTTGACTTGGACAGTGGTACAGGTATATAATATCTTTCTGCCACACAAGCCCTAATTTTCTTGACTTGGACAGAGGTATATAATACATGTAATGTCTTTCTGACACACAAGCCTTAATTTTCTTGACTTGGACCTGAGTAGATAATAATGTCTTTCTGCCACACAAGCCTTAATTTTCATGACTTGGACAGAGGTGTATAATACATGTTATGTCTTTCTGCCACACAAGCCCATTATTTTCTTGACTTGGACAGTGGTACAGGTATATAATACATGTAATGTTTTTATGCCACACAAGCCTTAATTTTCTTGACTTGGACAGGGGTAGACAATAATGTTTTTCTGCCACACAAGCCTTAATTTTCTTGACTTGGACTGGGGTAGATGACAAAATCTTTCTGACACACAAGCCTTAATTTTCATGACTTGGACAGAGGTATATAATACATGTAATGTTTTGTTTATGCCACACAAGCCCTAATTTTCTGGACTTGGACAGGGGTAGATAATAATGTCTTTCTGTCACACAAGCCTTAATTTTCTTGACTTGGACTGGGGTAGATGACAATATCTTTCTAGCAACACAAGCCTTAATTTTCTTGACTTGGACTGGGGTAGACAATAATGTCTTTCTGCCACACAAGCCCTAATTTTCTTGACTTGGACAGTGGTACAGGTATATAATACATGTAATGTTTTTATGCCACACAAGCCTTAATTTTCATGACTTGGACAGGGGTAGATAATAATGTCTTTCTGCCACACAAGCCTTAATTTTCATGACTTGGACAGGGGTAGACAATAATGTCTTTCTGCCACACAAGCCTCAATTTTCACGACTTAGGCGGATAAATAATGTGTTTTTGCGGTACACAAGCCTTAATTTTCCTGACTTGGATAGAGGTAGACAATAATGTCTTTTGGGCATGCAAGCCTTAATTTTAATTTTAGAAACCAATCTCAACACATATTGTATTAAAAAACACACAAGATGCATTTTCATTTAGTTTTAGACAAACACACAAGAAGTTGGGAATTAAGACACACAAGTAGTCTTTAGAAGGAAAAATTGAAAAGACACACAAGATACCCCTTTTTCTAGACACACAAGACAAAAATCTCACAAGCATACTGTCGTGAGTAGTACCGTACGTCCGTCCGTCCGTCCGTACGTCCCGTTCTCGTGATCGCGTTATCTGAAGAACCGATTGATGGATTCCTGCCAAACTTTGGTCATGTATGTTACTTGCAGAGCCGATGAACTGATTAGATTTTGGGGTCACGAGGTCAAAGGTCAAAGGTCACAGGGCTCATTATGTATGCAAAAACAGCTCGTGATCGCGTTATCTGAAGAACCGATTGATGGATTCCTGCCAAACTTTGGTCTTGTATGTATCTTGCAGAGCCGATGAACTGATTAGATTTTGGGGTCACAAGGTCAAAGGTCACAGGTCACAGGGCTCATTAGGTATGCAAAAAGAGCTCGTGATCGCATTATCTCAAGAACCGATCGATGGATTCCTGCCAAACTTTGGTCATGTATGTATCTTGCAGAGCCGATGAACTGAATAGATTTTGGGGTCACGAGGTCAAAGGTCACAGGGCTCATTATGTATGCAAAAATAGCTTGTGATCGCATTCTCATTAGAACAGATTGATGGATTCCTGCCAAATTTCGATCATGTATGTATCTTGCAGAGCCAATGAACTGAGTAGATTCATGGGTCATGAGGTCAAAGGTCATGGGCTCATTATGTATCCAAAAATAACTTGTGAACGCATTCTCATTAGAACTGACAGATGGATTACTATTTAACTCAGGACATCTTGCAGAGCCAATGAACTGAGTAGATTTTAGGGTCATCAGGTCAAAGATCAAAGGGTCATATATGTATATGAGAAATTGCTTGTAATCACGATATTCTGAGAACCTCTTAATGGATTACAATTGAACTTGAATTTGAAAAATTTCTTCTGTTTTGGTTTGTAAAATTGCTCTATGACGGAGGCATCATTTTCGACTGCGCGCAGTCGAAGTTCCATCTAGTTTTTTAAATGTTGATTTGATCACAAATTCAATAGAAGACACACTTGAAGAGAAAAATATTCTCAAAAAGAATGAAATGCTGATAATAACAAATTAACCAAAAAATACCTGCTTGTATGGAAAAGACAGCATGAGGAATGGACATTTCTGCATTGGAAGTGTGTTGCGCTTGGTTGTAAGTTTCGTTTTAATGAATTCCTTTTTTGTTGCCATCATGGTTCCTTCTTTTGGCCGCACAAGGTTGGCAGCTCTGAGTAATCTGTATCGTGTTATTCTACATGAATGAATGAGATCACATTGATTTTTCCTCCCAGTGTGACTCAGGCCCACAGTTTATTTACTTTGGAGTCTTGAGAGATTTTTAAAAATAAATGAATATATCTCCCTACTCCTACCACCCCCTGCAAGATTAATGTTAAGACTAAGTTTACAGCTGCTACCTTGTTTGGCGTTCAACAATAAGGGATAGAGCAATGTCGATCTGGCGCTGCTCAGTGGCTGCCGAGGTTACGATCAATTGGGCAAAAAGAATTTTCATTTTCGGTTTAACTTAATAAAATTTGGAGTGGATTTTAACAGATTATTATTAAGTTTTATTGCTGTTATGAATTCTTTTTCAGATGTGATCCTTCCGAATGGGTTGAATGTGATCAAGTTCCAGGCTATCCATGAGTTTCAGAATCTTCATGCCAAGGCCAAGAACAAGATCAGTGATTTTGTCAGGGGTCATTTTCATGGGTGAGTTCATATGGCTTCTTGTTTTAAAATGTATTTTTAAAGAAATATGTGATATATGTGTATAGTTTCCTTGTAGAATCCACATGTTTGTCAAAATGGGACAAGGGTTTTTCGAGAAAAATGCCCCAAAATGACCCCTAATAATGGGTATGGGTTTCGAGGCCCGAGTGGCACACCCCGTCCAAACCAAATCTGAGTATCCCCCCGGGCATTAAGGCTAACTGGTTCTTTAAGGCTTACTTGGCCCCTCTTATAGGAGACACATTGTCCTACAGTGTATATTTCTACAAACTACAGTCTGCATGCCCCTAAGCATCACTATCAGTCACAACACTAAATCATCACCGAGTGTGATTATATACAAATTTACTTTAAATTCTGTTTCAAAACACATTCAAGAGATATTACATTGACTTTGCCTTTGAATGTTTTTAAATAAATATGGAGATGCAATGAATCAATATCTTCATCAACATCATTTTCGTTCATGACCATCATCATTATCACCACCATTGTAATCATAATTGTTATCATCATATCATTACCATCATCATCAACATCATCATCATAACCATCATCATTATCCTCATTTCATAATCATCATCATCATCATCATCATCACCATCATCACCATTATCATCACCATTATCATCACCATCATCATCATCATCATCACCATCACTATCATCATCATCATGATCATCACCATCATAACCATCATGACCATTATCATCACCATTATCATCACCATCATCATCACCATCACCATCATCATCACCATCATCATCATCATCATCACCATCATCACCATTATCATCACCATTATCATCACCATCATCATCACCATCATCATCATCACCATCATCATCACCACCATCATCATCACCATCACCATCATCACCATCATCATCATCATCATCATCACCATCATCACCATCATCACCATCCTCACTGTCATCCGGATCCACTCAACAAAATAAAACGCAATGTGTAAAGAAGTTTTGTTTTCTTTTGCTTGCAGGCATTATGACTTTGATTTGGACAAGACGTTATATTTCTTCATAGCCGGACGTTATGAATACAGCAACAAAGGAGCTGATATTTTCCTTGAGTCTCTTGCTAGACTAAATCACTACCTCAAGGTAATTAAACCCAAATCAAAATGACGAACCGCCTCTTCAACCACATCTAAAAATTTGCAAAAGGTTTCACCAACCTTTAAAGCCCCACTGTCCTACTTGTAGCTACTTGCTCCCTCTACATGTATATAGAAAACTTCCCAATTGGTGCCTGTTGGTCCCCCAAGATCCTCCTTTTCTTATGTTAGTTGAGAGCTGAGTTAATGAGATAGCCACCTGTCAGTGACCTCGCTGTGTGGTCTAATCCCTTCTGGCCCAGTAGTATTGACGGTCTTTACAGGCATCGTTTAACAATGTTTAATCTGAAATGCACGGCCCTACATGTTAACAGTGTCTGTAATATGGTGTAATTTTGAAGCCTTAACAAATCATGCTTCAAAATGATCAAGCTGTGCCTCAAAAAGTAAAAACCTTTGAGTGACCTGCTTTACCATACTCGTTTTTCCCAATAGACTGTAGTGTTATGAAAACCGATAGGAAAAACACAAAATTTGGTTTCGATTTCCAATCATAAATATCTTGAAAATAAGGTTTATAATTATCATTGCAGCATGAGCTAAATTCAGGATTTTGTTTCAGAATCTGAGACAAAGTTACCGGATCCCTTTAAAAATTGGGTCCCGCTGCGGCACCAATGTCCTCTGGCAAAACATTAATCTACATCTGCCACTCTCCAGCCAGGTGATGTGAATGGGTATCTGGTAGGAAGAAGTTCCTTTAATGCCAGAGCACCTCATCAATGTAGTTCGGCTTATGCGGGGAGAATAATAGTACAGCGCTTAGAAACATTAGTATTATTGCTGCTTGTAAGTATTGGCTTGCATGGTGATGTAGATATACAGGAGGCTTGCGGGTGCACCATGTGAGAGAGAGGGAGGATTGAGGAGTCCTGAAAAAGGACTCTCAGTAATCTTTCTTGAGGGTGTGTAGTCCTTTCTTAGCTTATAGTTCTAAGGAAAACTATAGCGCTTGGAGAGGATGGGTGGCGGGAGTCTTTTTCAAGACTACACCAACAGTCCTTTTCAGGACTACACACCCTCAAGAAAGATTACCGAGAGTCTTTTTTTCAGGACTCCTCGATCCCCTCTCTCTCACATGGTGCAGCCGCAAGCCTACTGTATATTAGTATTATTGTTGTTGTTGTTCTAATAAAAACTGAATGTGATATCTTGTGATTTGCAGGCTTCAAAGAGTGACAAGACAGTAGTTGCTTTCCTCATCATGCCGGCGAAGACTAACAACTTCAACGTGGAGTCCCTCCGAGGGCAGGCTATATGTAAACAACTCAAAGAGACGGCAGCTGAGCTACAGACCAAGATGGGACAGAGACTCTTTGAAACAGCTCTGAGGTGAGTCTTTGAGTTGGGTTGAGACCCTTAGATATAAGGAGATATAATCAGAGCTACTAGACCAAGATGGGACAGAGACTCTTTGAAACAGCTCTGAGGTGAGTCTTTGAGTTGGGTGGAGACCGCGGCCCCCCCCCCCCCTCACTCTGGAAACAAAAGGACCTCATTCATGTTCCCAAAATGTCCCATAAAGGGGTACTTTTCACGCAACAAAGTCCCGCTTGTCACACACATAAATTGGGCCTGTATTGACTTTACACACCTGACTTTGGGGGGTGTATTCAAAGGGAGGGAACATGCATATGCGTACCCTAAATAACACTGAGTGGGGGGGGGGGGGGGGGGGGTTGGGGTTTGAGACCTCTTAGGGTTATTTTAGGAAATCTAAACAGAACTAGGTTAGTGACTCTTCAAAATAATGAGTCGTGCTATTCATCTGTGCTATGCTGATAAATTGAATAGTGTCAGAACGATTTAAAAATTACGTTCAAGATCGCACTCATTTCTTCTTCTGTATGTTGGGTACAATAAGGGAGTTTACAGATACAATCTGCGCATGGGCAGATAAAGGTCATTTGTACCAAAAAGGTGAAACCCACCAGAGATGAATACTGGATATGCGCTCATGAAAGTTATGTATCATTATTCATGTATGCACCAACGAAACATTCTAAGATACGCAGGTGGAAGTATTCTTTTCAAGAGGGCAAACAAAATGTATTCATGAAGCACATCTAGGACTTTGGCAGTTATTATTCTAAGATGCTCAAAGTGGAACTTCTCCATGTGTAAAAGATCTGGATATTTGGGGTCATTTGTACCATGTGCTATCTGTAAACTCCCTTATTCATGCCCCACTTCTCTTTCACTTGCTCCTTTTGTATTTGCCTTTCTATCTCTGTCTCATTTTCTTCTATCACAATATCCTATGTTATCTTTTGCCCTCATTCCTGTCCATTCTTCTCATCCATTATTATCTTTCTTCTCTCGTCATATACTGTTACCGTTCCTCATTACGAAAAGCTCTCATTAAAACTATACCCCACCACTATAACACAGGAACCAATGTAAATCAGGTGGGGTATCACGACCCCACTTTCGTTTCTCTCGTAAAAACTTTGACAGAGCCACTATACCCCATCACTATATCACAGGCACCAATGTAAATCAGGTGGGGTATCACGACCCCACTTTCATTTCTCTCGTTAAAACTTTGACAGAGCCTTGCAGCTCCGCATGAGAGATTGCAGCTGTACACTTCATCATCTTACGTAATACTGTAAACAAAATCTTACTGGGGCTTCTGTTTTGTCCATTCCTAGAGGTGAGATCATCAAGCCGGAAGACCTCTTACTCTCTGAAGATCTCGTAAAGCTGAAGCGTTGTATCTACGCCAGCCAACGTCCTCACCTACCACCTATCTGTACACACAATGTGATCGATGATCATCAGGACCCTGTGCTATGTAATCTTCGTCGTCTCAAGATGTTTAACGACCGTAGCGATCGTGTCAAGGTACAGTTCTTTCTTTGATCCGATGTATGCTCTGCAACAAGTGTTCCAGGATTTTCTTCTTCAAAGATTTAGGGTGAAGGCTTGTTCAGACATGACACTGAAAAAACGCTGCATTTTTGTGTGCTTTTGTTAAGTGCAATGTGCTTTATATTTCTGTATCTTATGAGACAGAGCTAAATGATAAGATCATCTTTGTTTGATCAAAATCGGTTCAGAGACGGCTGAAATATCCATAAATATAACGATTTATAATACTTGTGTACCACTACATTAGATAATTTGAAAAGGCTGTTGAAAACACGAAAAAGCGCCAAGTACGTCGTATTTCAGCCAATGTCGATGTTGGTTTTTTTTGTTGGCATTTTCGTGTTGGTTATATTACGCACAACCAGCCGGCCCATGTTTTGTTATTTTTAATTGAATAATTAATTAACGGTCATCATATTTTTTGAAAGTGGAGCTGAATTGGTATGATCATATTGGTTAAATTTCACACATTTTGGGGTCTAAAATTACCTTCGAATGGCACTAGCAATGTCATAGATAAGAATAAGAGCAATAACCATGCACTTTGAAGGCATTTGCAGTCTGAAAACAGAACTAAACTATCCCTTTAAGTCTGATCTTGAGGCAAAATATATGTTACACCTGTTTTGTTCATATTTTTGTATATTGATCATATTTTTTGCGAGTAATTAATGTCCTTTCATCTCTGTACAGGTAATCTTTCACCCTGAGTTTCTCTCGTCTACCAATCCTCTGTTTGCCTGTGATTATGAAGAGTTTGTTCGTGGATGCCATCTCGGTGTCTTCCCTTCGTACTATGAGCCTTGGGGCTATACACCAGGTAACTCTCTAGTTCTCTGCCTTAGGTGGGGAGGGGGGAGGAAGGAGGTGGGAGGAGGAAGGAGGGAGGAGGAAGGAGGGAGGAGGGAGGAGGAGGAGGAGGGAGGAAGAGGGAGGAAGAGGGAGAAGGGGGAGGAGGAGGAGGAGGAGGAGGAGGAGGAAGAAGAAGAAGAAGGAGAAAGGAGGAGAGGAGGAGGAGGAAAGAGGAAGGAGGAGAGGGAGGGGGAGGAGGGAGGAGGTGTCTTCCCTTCGTACTATGAGCCGTGGGGCTATACACCAGGTAACTCTCTTGTTTTCTGCCTTAAAAGGAGGAGGGGGTAGGAGGAGGAAGAGAGGGAGGAAAGAGGAGGGGGAGGGAGGAGGAGGAGGGGAGGAAGGAGGGGGGAGGGAGAAGGGAGGAGGAGGAGGAGGGAGAGGAGGGAGGAGGAGGGGGAGGAACAGAAGGAGGGAGGAACAGGAGGAGGGAGGAACAGAAGGAGGGAGGTACAAGAAGAGGGAGGAGGAACAGGAGGAGGGAGGACTCATCCACCAGAGCCCTGTTATACAAAACTTGTTATCAATAGCAAGTTTTAAAATCCGTTATAAGCTACTGAAATCATTGCAGTTCATTGGCAGAGAGCAAAATTGTTATGAAATGTTACATTTGTTATTAATAACAAGTTTTATGAAATGGGGCCCAGACCTCACCGTCCCTCATTTTGTAAAAACTGTCATGAAGAAGTAGCATTATTCCACCCAAGCATACAGTTGGGTATAAACTAGTGCTGTAGTCGAACCTTTAACCGTCCGGTATCAGACCGCCCATGGCACTATCCTTTTTCAATTGGACGGTATTGTTTTCCCGCGGTTAAACGGAATTGGAGATATCCGTGATGTTACAGTATAAACAGTATAACATTTTATGAAATCTCTGCTTTGATTCACAGCTGAGTGCACTGTAATGGGTATACCTAGCGTCTCAACGAACCTGTCTGGGTTTGGTTTGTTCATGGGTGAACACGTAGCTGATCCTACCTCCTATGGCATCTACATTGTAGATAGACGCTTTAAGAGCAGTGAAGAATCCATTCAGCAGCTCGCTGGGGTAAGCTCAACCAATCTTACAGTCCACCAATCGCCTGGATAAATACTCTCTTTACATACAGCTAGAATGTATGAAATAAACCTTAAAAATGTACCTGAGCTCTGTTGCATAAACTTACCATTGATGGTAACTTTGCCATCAATATTAACTACCATGGCAACATCACTAGGTGCACAGACTTTCATATTACTATATCATTTAATTTCTTCATACTCCATTACTGTTAAAGTAGACCAGTTTTGGAAACGCCCCCCTCTCAAAAATGAAATGGAAGCTCTTATTACCAATCATGTGAAAGAATATGTTTTGACTAATACGTGATCATACAAATTTTGCCAAGAAACCGCCTACTAATTTATATATTTGGTAAATAATTATATCTATTTGGACCTGATAGATATAATGCATGTGTCACATAGTCCCATATCCATCTTTCTGTGTACAGTGCTTGTAACTTTACCAAGACTGGGCCAAATTTCTTATCATTTTGATGATCCTAGAACCTTGCAGTACACACCAATACCTATATGCTAGATGATCAACCTTTTCTGATCGATTCCACGATGTTTCTTTCACAATGCAATCGCATGACCATAACTGGTCTTTATCTTTAATACTAATCAATATAAAGGGATATTACTGGCATCCATAGAGGTGTCGTGGACGAGTGGATATGTCAACGGACTGTGGATCACAAGGTCCGCGGTTCAAGTCCCACCGAGGCACTAATGTCCTTTGCCAAGACATTGATCTACATTTGCCACTCTCCACCCAGGTGTTGAATATGTACCCGGTAGGATGCGAAAGCTAATGTGCTTAGATTAGCAAGTGTGCGCTTGTAAAAATGACGCCTGGCTGGAATGCTCCCCAGGGAGTGGAGAATGTGCATGCATTGTGTGCGGGTAAGCCTGAATCCGATGACCGGGGTAATAATATATATATCTGTAAGGCGCTTTGAGAGGGCCTTCGGTCTTGAAAAGCGCTATATAAGAACTAGCTATTATTATTATTATAATCCATAGCCAAGTGAAAAGACATGAGCAGAGTAGAAGTAATGACATTTCTGTTTGTTTTACAGTACATGTTTGACTTCACGAGGCTGAATCGTAGACAGCGCATCCTGCAACGAAACCGAACAGAGAGACTGAGCGAGCTCTTGGACTGGAAGAATTTGGGAGTGGTAAGCTTACATGATATGAACAGGGCCCCGTTTCACAAAGATTTTCATCAGTGACAAATGACAGTTTTTGTTATAAGCTACTGAAATCCTTGCTTCTGATTGGTTATCAGCAGATTTGTCACTGACTTTTGTCATTTTTCATTGAAAAGTGGCTTTATGAAACGGGTCACAGAACATAAGGGATAAACAGCGTACAGTATTTTATCATAGTCAAAGGTTTTTCAGTCATATTGAGGATATTATTTTCTCTTATAACCCCCTCCCCTCCCCCCAAATGAGCCTTTCAGTTTTATTACCGATATTACTATTATCCGCTTTTTACATTGAAACATCATTTACAGTAAATAACTTTGTATATATACTGCACCCTCCAAATTTTGGCCCACCGTGGACAAAAAGTACCTCAATGTTTCTGTATGCACCCCAAGTTCAAATAGCGGGATATTTGGCAATCTCGAGCTAGTGAAGACAGGCCTCATAAGAGCCCACTTCTATGCATCATCAACGACTTCTATTAAAAATAGAATTTAACAGGAGACTTTACCCATGTTTACAAAAAGAAGGTGGACAATTACGTCTTCCAAAATTAAGAACGACACACAGTCAATTTTCATTGCCTTTTGTGGGCAGTAAATTTTGGAATAGATTACCTGTTGATGTCAGATTGACAAGGTCTAGAAATATTTTTCGGAATTATGCTACAAGTCATTTGTTTAACAAGTCATGAATAAAATATCAAGTTAAATAATCTCATATGTACACAATTCATATTTTACATTATTAGTTTGTATTCTAAGACATTGTTGAGTACCGATTCTTGTTTTTTTAAAGTGTCGATTGTAATAGTAAATTCATTATTTTTTGTTTTGTTACGTTTTCTAAACTGATTTGTACCAAAATACTTTGTTTAGCTGTTTAAGGGGTTAGGCTCGACTAGCACATGTGCTATTATCTGGCCCCTTTTACCAACCAATAGTTTCTCTTCCTGTATATGTAAATTATTGTATGAAATATATTGTTGTTGGTAAATAAATCAGATCAAATTCAAATTCAAATCTTGACGCTTATTTTTCCCTTCACAGTACTACCGTAAGGCTCGTTATGTAGCACTCAACAAGACTCACCCAGAACTGTTTCAAGGAGACGAGAATGGCGAGGAAAGAACCGTAAGTTGTCCTCAAATTATCGTTTACACATTTCCTTGGTTGATTGGTTTGACCTAACTGCTAAGAAAGTACGAGTGCGCTTTTAAGTAAGCAACCAGGGGATCTACGGTAGTGTAGCACTATGCGACGTTTTGCCGGGCTAGTGTAGCGTGGGCGATGGTAAAAAGAGAGGGGAACAAAAAAACGCTTTTGAAGTTTTTACACCTACTTCAAGTGCTAAGAACGGCAACGTTTCTATGTTCAATGTAGCCAAAACCATTCGTAGAGAAAGATATTTACCTGATTTATTATGTTCTCAAATTAATTTGCAAATATATCTTTCTTTTGCTACACTACGTTTAGCTGGAAACAAAGAAGCCCGAACGCGCAATTTTAACTTCCCAGCAAAAGGTAGTGAAGCACTACGCGACGTTGTGCCGGCCGGGCAACTGACGATATCAGTTTCATGTTTATTCATACATATCTGATTCATGTGTTTCATGTTTATTCATACATAATTCATACATATCTGTTACATGTTTATTCATACATATCTGATTCATGTTTATTCATACATATCTGATTCATGTGTTTCATGTTTATTCATTCATATCTGTTTCATGTGTATTCATACATATCTGATTCATGTGTTTCATGTTTATTCATACATATCTGATTCATGTTTATTCATCACCAGATGTTCCGTTACCCGAGAGCAGCATCAGCTCCTCCTTCACCTAACAGCTCCCGTGCGTCCACACCTATCCCCAGCAACGATGACGACGACGACGAGGACGACGATGAGGAAGATGAGGAGCACTAACTATCAGGAGGTTTACTTCAGAGAAACCTATACACATTCACTGATTGGACCAGGCAGCATCCCAAAGAAATGGTAAAAGGCTGGGGTAGGAACCAACATGAAATGCTATATATGGGACACACATTCACCAATTGGACCAGGCAGCATCCCAAAGAAAAAGTGAAAGGCTGGGGTAGGAACCAACATGAAATGCTATATATGGGACACACATTCACCGATTGGACCAGGCAGCATCCTGGCTAAAGGCTGGGGTAGGAACCAACATGAAATGCGTTATATGGGACACACATTCACCGATTGGACCAGATAGCATATCCCAAAGAAATGGTGAAAGGCTGGTGTAGGAACCAACACGAAATGCTATATATGGGACACACATTCACAGATTGGACCAGGCAGCATCCTGGCTAGAGGCTGGGGTAGGAACCAACATGAAATGCTATATATGGGACACACATTCACCGATTGGACCAGGCAGCATCCTGGCTAAAGGCTGGGGTAGGAACTAACATGAAATATTCTCTTGTCCAGTCTTCTGTTCGCGTACTGCCTTGAGACCAAAGTTGAATGGGCTTGGGCTTGGCCTCGGACCGAATCGTGTGTTAAAAGTCTATAGAAGTTTATAGTTCTCAGAGGCCTCAACACTTGGAACTGCCTGCCTTAACTACATCACTTAGTGATACAATCCAACCTGTCTAAGTGTCCACCTGGCTATAAAAGCCACCTCTTCATGTCACCAATATAAGTCTTCCTCCAGGGGGAAATATATGTTGTAGGATCTGTTTTGACAGAGGACCTGCATGGGTGGCATTTTACAGATGGGTTTGACTGTATGTGGGACTGATCAATCTTTTCTTAAAGATTGGGGTAAAAACCAACATGAAATGCTGTATGTTGGACTTATTAGCTTCAAATTAAACAATGTAGAATGTGTAGATCTCTGTGTATCGATCTTTGTTGGATTTTCTCCAAATTGAAATTATATCTTTATTACATCTCAGTGAAATTCTATGAATTGACTGTATGTAATAATGTAGATGTGACACACAATACCATCCCCACCTAACACTCAACTCTTATTGCATATTGAGTGGACTTTATTTCATGTGCACTGCCTATTTCTGCACTGAATGTGATACCTATGTAGTATGGCAGAAAGATAATGTAATAAAAATGCAGCTGCCATAGAGGGTTAAATACAATACAGACAGACACGGTCTCGTAGAATACTGCGATAACCATCAACAATTTGTGATGTTTTAGTGTTGCTTCACCTATGTATTTAAAAGTAGCTGCACACACATATATGAGAAATACCGGGACTTGTTTTGAACCTTCAAATCCATTATATCTGCAGTGCAAAAAGTCAATTTTAGCTGCATGTTAAATATTACCTTTTTAAATGAATGCTCAACTGCCACAATCTCAAATTTAAACAAAATAGTAAAGATTGCAGCAGATTGGGTATGGTCCCAGTCAAAACTAACTTTAAAGACAAACTTAAAAGTTTCTTTGCTTTTTGAGTACCGGTAAGGTTCTAGATTCAAGTATTACACTTTGCATCAATCAAGAATCGACTAATTCATTATGCAGATTGCAGATGGTACACTTATACCAGTAGTTACTCAAACATCGTCCTTTTATCTTATGTATTCAAGAATATACAGTACTTCTTGCCTTTAACTCTTACTCATTTTGGGGGTGTCAAAATTTATCTGAAATGTGCTGTGGTATTCAAGGAGAACAGTATAGGATGAAATCATCTGGATCTACCCTATGGGTAAAATGGACCAGTCTGTGCTGTGCATTCAGTGCTGTGTTAGTGGTAGGATAATTAAGATTCTTCCATTGTGATGAGGGTAGGTTTGTGGATGTCATGTAGAGGTAGACTCCACAGAGAATAAAATGTGGTGGTGGTTATTTTACCTGACTGCTAAGAAAGCATAAATTCTTGTAAGCAACCATGCAGATGGCCGACAGCGTTAGGTCCTCTCTGAGGGACCTGGTAATGAGGATTAATGCCTTACCAAAGGGCACGAGCGCATCGCCTTGGTTTCAAACCCGGGTCACCGGATTACGAGACCACTGCTCTACCAACTGAGCTATCGCGCCTCCTCAGTACAGTATTGCAGTAGTCGATTACTGTCGGTAGGCTCTAGATGTAGACAATCTTTGAGAATATTCTCTTGTGATACCGAAGGGCTACAAATACATTTCAGGCTACATGAAGTTAATTCCTACTTTCTCACCCCCACCTCCTTTCTATCAGCCGGCCTTGGTTTGTTCATTTCTCAGTTTTTCTTCCGTCCGTATGTTTGTCCCGCTTTCTCGTTGACGCGATATCTCAAGAACCACTAGAGAAATGATGTTACCTTCAATCGTAATGTTAGTATGTTTCCACTGTAGGAAAATAATCTGATTAGATTTTGCGGTCTGGATTAAAATGTTAAGTTTTTGTATGCTTGCTTGATGCCCCTTTTTGAATTTACCCAAAAAAATTGAAGGTCCAGCAATATACATCATGTTAGCATTCAGCCAATAGGATACACTCTATATAACAAATATGTGTATCAGTATAGAGCCTGAGCACTGTTAAAACGTAAGTTGCATTATATTGGAGCACTTCAGGTATGCGATCTGAAATGAATGGTGCACTAAATTGCTATTGATACTTACCTATGATAAATTTCTGTTTTTTTTCTTCTTTTTCTTAAGATACATGTATGTTTCAATAAGTCTAAATATTACTCTACTGGACATACATTGAGAATAATGGACCAGTCTTTGATATGAAATGTTATTACATATTTTTATGCATAGATTTAGAAATGTTTGATTTCACCATTTTAGTGTAAACAAGCATGTTTCATTTTATTGGGTTGGCTGCAGTTAATGGCTCAATGTGATGGAGAAAAAAAACTGCATGAATAAGAATTGCATGATGATGTACTATAATCTATGTGAAATGCTGCAAGAATTTGCAGGTTTATTTTTATGTACGCTCATGTAATGTATGTATGTTGAAAAGGTTGTTTCGCTACTATATATGAATAAATTTAATACCAAAGTACAGTAATTTTGACTCTTCCACTAAAAGTGGCACCTGATAAATGTTTTCAATTATCTGATCTTTCTGCCCATCCATAATTTGGGGTTATCTGTTTGAAGTTTTGAACTATGTAGCGGTAGTTGAGTGGTTAACAAATTTGACTGGAAATGCAAAGGTGATGAGTTTGAATTGGACATATGGCTCAAGTGTACCTTGGCAAGACAGTAGTTTTTATGTATATTTGCCACTCTCCACCCAGGTGTTGAATTGGTACCGGAATTCCTTTGATGCTGTGAGCACTGAAATTATTAGCCTGTGTTGAAGCTGAAGCTTCTCGCATCGTGGATGTTAGCGCTATTAAAATATCCATTATCATCATTATTATTACCAGGGATCTCTTGTTTGCTGTCATTTTTTAAGCTTCTTAAATCATATATATTTGAAAGAGCATAATGTTATTCATGTGAGCACAAATTATTTTACCCCTCAAAGTGGTCTATAGTGTATATGTTTAATTAAGGTACCTATATATGCCTGATCAACAGAATTTTTTTAAAGTGAATACTGATCACTTTTGTTAATTGATTACATGTATTAACAGAATACATGTCTTGCAATTTCTGAAATTTAACTTTAATTTTAACAGATTACATATCCATAAGCATTTGTTTAGAAACTAATTTTTATCGAACTTATACAACCATTTCAAAGCATGTAATATTAAATCTAGATGTCTTGCATCTATCAAATTATTGTTATTTTCATCAGCAGCAGCACTATAATAATAATTATTATCATCATTATTAATTATTATTAATTATTATCATTATTATGATTATGTGTTGAGATATAAATGAATGCTGTTGGAATAATCTCATATGACAAGAGGTAAAATGTGAGCTTGATCAGCAGTGCATGAAATGATTCAGGGATTGTGAAAAGGGCAGCAATCCATTTTGAAGAGTAATTATTCTGAGTCATTTTTATATTTGATAATTGCTTGTCTGTCTCAATTTTAGGCCTTGGTGATGTGAAATGATGCAGTTTTGAGCCAGAAGTGTTTGTAACCATACAAATGCCCTTCATGTTTCTGTTATATCTCAATGTGTATGATATTACAAAATAACTGAACCCTTTGCCTGTGGGGAGCCGAACGGTCCCTACCGTGCGTCCCCAAAAAACCTATACACTTTCGAAATGGCTGCCGAATAACAAAATATATGATTCTGGGGGAAAAGTTTTATGTTTGGAAAGCTCATAAACTAAACTTTCATATGACACCAAAAAGTCCGAAAATAATTCATGCTTGGGTGAGCACTGCTCACTTTTGTAAAGGGTATAACAATTAGGTTGCGCAGGAATTAGCCTTCCAATTTGTGAGAGGTAAATCATTTGGAGCTTACAAAATTGAGGGTGATATGATACATTCATGATTTGCTGAGTGAATTTCATGGTTTATTAAACCAAATGTTATGCATGAGTGAACAGGAAGTTTGCATTTTTTTAATAATTCCCGCGCAACCTGATTTTCATACCCTTTACAAAAGTGAGCAGTGCTCACCTAAGCATGAATTATTTCCGCACTTTTTGGTGTCATATGAAAGTTGAGTTTATGAGCTTTCCATACATATAAATTTTTCCCCCCAGAATCATATATTTTTTTATTCGGCAGCCATTTCAAAAGTGTATCAGGTAGTTTTTTTTGGTACGCACGGTATATCAAGCACATGGGAATAAGATCATTCGGTTATCAATGGGGTAATGCTCATTTCACTCTCAGTATAAATTATGTGTAATAAAATGGATTGTTCTATTACTCAAAGAGTCTAAATGTTGCTGTGAAGTTGTTTCCCACATAATGATTGCAGATTTGTGATGAATGTAAACTACTTCAGTTCAAAGTCATCTCTATTTTTTCACTGTATTGGTGCTCTGTTGTGAATTTGAAATTGACTGAAGTATATCTATGTAGCACTAAAACATTAATCTACATTTGCCACCCCCCACCCAGGTGCTAAAGGGGTACCGGTAGGAAGGAATTCCTTGAATGCTGTGAGCACCAAAATTGGTAGGCTAGCAGAGCCGGGGTAATATTGGACCGCCTTGAGCACCTTGCTTAGTGGATATATATTATTATTATTATCATGTATTATTGCAACAACAAAAAAACATTTAGAAGCTTACAATGAAGTACTGGTAACAAGAAGTTGATACCCTTGTACATGTCTAACAAAATGAAACAATATATCGCATTTATGCACAAAGTATGAGGAGATTATGATTTGCTGTGTCGGGAAATTATGAGAATATGAAAATTAAACATACATATATATATATATATATATATATATATATATATACATCAAACAATTAGGATTGGATGTATGTTTATTTGTCTTTTGTGGCTGTTTTGAATATAGTGTTAGTGTTACAACCAAAACAGGAAAACATGTACATTCTACTACAGTGGCTGTGGTTGTAGGTTATGTGTGAGTGATGTGTGCCTCTATTCTAATCTTTTTTTCTTTCTCTCTCTCTCTAAGTGCCATATCATTTGACTTTGGCGATCATGCTGTTCAACAACCCTCGTCTCCTAGCCTTCTGTATTATTACCACTCCTATTTCTTTCACTTCTCTCTTCCAACAATTTCTGCAGACTGTCCATCCAAAGTATCCTCCTTCTTCCCCTACTCCTTCTTCCCACAATTTTCCCTGTCAAAGCAAGATTCTTTAGGCCTTCTTTGCGTGTAATGTGACCCATGAACTTCAACTGCCTAATCGGCATCTCAAGTATCATTTTCCCTTGCACTCCAGCTCGTGTAAGAACTTTGTCAGTCCAGGGGATTTTCATCATTCTTCTTGTAAACCTTTTTCTATATAGAATTTACATACACAATGTACGAGTGAAAATTACAAACTGAACAACAACAAATATATTTGAAAAAGTGATTTTAATTTCCACTTCTTATTGCAGATTGAGGATTTTAATGTATACATTCATTTATAACATTCATATGAATGACACAATATAATAACACGGGAAATCAAACCATATTTTTCAGTGATTTTTGCTCATGTACCATGTGAAATTAATTGCATTATATCGTACATTTAATGTCCAAATGTTACTAAAAGGCGACAGTGTACCTTTGTGGTCAGGATGGAATTTACTTGGTGAAAGTTCACTGACCTTTGCTTACAGATTACTGCTCCATACTGTACATGTAGCTATTGCAAGTACAATAACCAAAGAGATATATATGTATACATGTATGTATACATCATGTACATTGAATACTGTAACGGATGATTACATTCATAATTAGACAAACCTGGGAGCCATTTCACAAAGCCTTTTTTCAATGACAAATGACAAAAATCAGTGACAAATCTGCTGATAACCAATCAGAAGCAAGGATTTCAGTAGCTTATAACAAGAACTGTCGTTTGTCACTGATGACAAGTTTTGTGAAACGCCCCCTGGTTTCTGTGGGAAGCCTGTGTAATGGTTATTTGTAGTCTGGCATAGGCCCATTTCCAATTTCAAACATTGTATAAATGATCAATATAGGTTTGCAGCACATAACATACACTGTACACTAACTGCATACATGTGAACATATTGCCACAAAGCCTGACGCCAATCAAACTAGCTACCTTGCGTTGGTGGCCATGTTTAGAAAGATGCCTGGAGCTACGACTGATTAAACAATGCCTACCAATAAGCCAGTTCACAGTCGCAGTCTGAGCATGAGCAGATAAAGGTCATTGCAGACCAAATTGTGAAACTCATCGAGACGAATACTGGTATCATGCTCAAGAAAGTTATGTAATCAGTTTTCTTTTATGCACCGACAGTATATTTATACTGGTGGAAGTATTATTCTTAAGAGGCAAACAAAAGGTATTCACGAAGCACCTCCATCACTTCGGCAGTGATTATTCTAAAATGCACAAGTGGGACGTATCCATCGTGTAAGAGATCTGTTGATATTTAGAGGTCATGCGTTCTGAAGGTAATTACCAACTGGCTTTTTGACAGGGTCTATAGAGTACCGAAGCTGTGACATCATAAAAATCTGTTTTTAGAATATATTTCCATGGGAACTCGGTGTTATATGCTCTGGCTCGTAATGGTTAAGAGCCAGAGAATATAACGCTGAGTTCATATAGGAAATATATACAGATGGTCATATCTCAGACAATATGTAACATATTCATTTGGTTTTCCACAAAAACATTATTTTTGATGCTCTTTCGGAAAATGAAGAAAAAATTGAGAAATTCTAAAAATAGATTTTTGATGACGTCACACTTACCACTCTATGGAGTGCATTAGACTACAAGTTTCAAACTCTCAATACCATTATCTGTAGTCTTACCATTCAGACACTCTTACGACTGACAAGGGTCTGTGCGAGCAGACTACTATTTGTCAATGTCCATTGATTTAATCTTTGGAAATAAACATCATTGTTTGCAGTTAGATGCTTTTTACTATTCAGTCAAACTCATAATGCAATTCAATTATATTCTTATTCTCAAAATACACTCATAGACAGCAAATATTTCAGTTAAATTAGACAAAATAAAAATAAACTTTCAAAATACTCATCTTATATCCAAAATCCCAAAGAAAAAAATAATCCCACTCATGGAAGAATGCAAAATCAATATAATAAAAAAACAAACTATATTAATAAAGGTATAATTAAAATATAGAAACAAAGTATTCTGTCTCCATTCTTATATTAAACCCAAGCTCATAATAACTACATCCTCCCATAAGGCATAAGTTTGATCCTTCACATACAATGTATACTCTGATCAATGTATTTTCCACTTCAATTAATCATGTAGCAACTGTCGAGACTAACACCTGGGGGGGGGGGGCATTTTCACGAAACAATCATATATCTAAGTTCATGAACATCCGATTGACACCTGTGTTAATTGAATAACATACATTTCTATGGGATTTCGAAGAATTTAGACTCATGACAGTTTCCTTGTATTGAAGCTCCATTTTATTATCAATAATTAAAGCAAAGACTAAAGCACTTTTTCATGATGACTGAGTTTGAAAGGACAATTCCCCCAGGAAATGGGCTGTTCCTTATGGGAAAAATTTGAACATTCTTTTTTTTCTTCATGATTTTTTTAAACCAAAATAATATTTTCTGTAAATTAAAGGAGCCACATACCAAACCCTTTGTGATAACGAGGAAATATTGCTGGTCCCATTTTATTGTTAGACCAGGGCCCCATCTTATAAGATATAACATATTTACATAAGAGATACGAAACTGCAATTGATTCAATCGCAATTCTTTATAAGACGGTCCCATGATGTAACAAGATTTCGATATAACAAAGCTAATTTCTTTGGTC